GGGGGGGGAAAGGGGAAGGGGGTGGTAATTGGGAGTCGGGGGCAACGAGCCCCGAATTTGGTGTTATCGAACCCAAACTGAGCCCTGAATCCAGTGTCACTGAGCCCCAAATTTGGTGTCACCGAACCCAGATTGAGCCCAAAATTTGGTGTCATCGAGACCCAAATCTGGAGTCATTGAGCCCAGATTAAGTCCTAAATTTGGTAGCCCAGGGGGGGTTGTAGGTAGCCACCATAACCTCCCACCCCCCCCGAGTGCCTGTGGCCAGCTCAGAGGCGGCGTCTAAATTTGGTGTCACCAAATCCAGATTGAGCCCCAAATCTGGTGTCACTGAACCCAGATTGAGACCCGAATTTGGTGTCACTAAGCCCAGATTGAGCCCCAAATCTGGCGTCATTGAACCCAGATTGAGCCCCAAATTTGGTGTCACCAAACCCAGATTGAGCCCCAAATTTCATGTCACTGAGCCCCAAATCCAGAGTTACTGAGCCCAGATTGAGCCCCAAATCTGGTGTCACTGAACCCAGATTGAGACCCGAATTTGGTGTCACTAAGCCCAGATTGAGCCCCAAATCTGGCGTCATTGAACCCAGATTGAGCCCCAAATTTGGTGTCACCAAACCCAGATTGAGCCCCAAATTTCATGTCACTGAGCCCCAAATCCAGAGTTACTGAGCCCAGATTGAGCCCCAAATCTGGCGTCATTGAACCCAAATTGAGCCCCAAATTTGGTGTCACTGAACCCAGAATCTGGTGTCACTGAGCCCCAAATTTGGCATCACCAACCCCCAAATTTGGTGTCATCGAGACCCAAATTTGGTATCATTGAACCCAGATTGAGCCCCAAATCTGGTGTCACTGAACCCAAATTGAGCCCCAAATTTGGTGTCACTGAGCCCAAAATTTGGCGTCACTGGGCCCAGAATCTGGTGTCACCGAGCCCCAAATTTGGTGTCACTAAACCCAGATTGAGCCCCAAATTTGGTGTCACCAAGATTCGAATTTGGTGTCACTGAGCCCAGATTAAGCCCCAAATTTGGTGTCACTGAACCCAGATTGAGCCCCAAATTTGGTGTCATCAAGACCCAAATTTGGTATCATTGAACCCAGATTGAGCCCCAAATTTGGTGTCACTGAACCCAGATTGAGCCCCAAATTTGGTGTCACCAAGACCCGAATTTGGTGTCACTGAGCCCAGATTAAGCCCCAAATTTGGTGTCACCAAGCCCCAAATTTGGTGTCATTGAACCCAGATTGAGCCCCAAATTTGGTGTCACCAAATCCAGATTGAGCCCCAAATTTGGTGTCATCAAGACCCAAATCTGGTGTCACCAAACCCAGATTGAGCCTCAAATTTGGTGTCATTGAGACCCAAATCTGGTGTCGATGAACCCAAACTGAGCCCCAAATTTGGTGTCACTAAACCCAGATTGAGCCCCAAATTTGGTGTCATTGAACCCAGATTGAGCCCCAAATTTGGTGTAACTGAACCCAGAATCTGGTGTCACCGAGCCCCAAATCTGCTGTTACGGGACCAAGACTGAACCCTGAATCTGGTGTTACCAAACCAGGACTGAACCCCAAATCCGGTGTTATTGAGCCCAGAATATGGCATCACTGAACCCCAAAATGTAGCATTTGGGGAGCCCAGACCAAGCTCCAAATCTGGTGTTATTGAGCCCAGAATCCGGTGTCACTGAACCCCAAAATCTGGCATTTGGGGAGCCCAGAAACTGGTGTCACTGAACCCCAAAATTTGGCATTTGGGGAGCCAGGACCAAGCCCTAAATCCTGTGTTATTGAGCCCAGAATCCGGTGTCACCAAACCCCAAAATCTGGTATTTGGGGAGCCAGGACTGAGCCCCAAATCTGGTGTTATTTAGCCCAGAATCTGGTGTCTCCGAGCCCAGACCGAGCCCCAAATCTGGTGTTATTTAGCCCAGAATCCGGTGTCACCAAACCCCAAAATCTGGCATTTGGGGAGCCCAGAATCCGGTGTCACCGAGCCCAGCCCGAGCCCCAAATCTCCTGTTATTTAGCCCAGAATCCGGTGTCACCGAACCCCAAAATTTAGCATTTGGGGAGCCCAGACTGAGCCCCAAGTTTGGTGTCACTGAACCCCAAATCCGGTGTTATTTAGCCCAGAATCTGGCATCACTGAACCCCAAAATCTGGCATTTGGGGAGCCCAGAATCTGGTGTCACCGAGCCCCAAATCCGCTGTTATTGAGCCC